TCTTACCCTTGAAGGGCTAGCTGGCTAGCCTGGGGCTTGCGCAGAGACCTGCGATCTGTCACAGTGTTCGCGGAGTGACCGCTTACAGACCACTTTTAAGTTCCCCAGGAGGGGGAGTGATTTCCAGAGTGACCGGAAGGATATCACAAAGGTCTGATTGTGACAGGCCTGCTGATGCAGGTAACCCAACGCAATTATCCTGCTGGAGATGGCAGGTTGAAGACAACACTGGCAAGATGACCTGAGAAAAAGGGGGGTGCTGCCTACCGTAGCGACGATAGTCAACCTTGGACAGAAATGAAAATGAAACAGTCGTGTGTTCTTAGCGTGCGGAACCCGAAACACGCCTCCTTCATCCACAACAACCGATTGAACGGAGAGGCGCCAATGACATAAGGTGAAAGTAAAGTACAGACAAAATATGAATAGATCATAGATATCATAACTTTAAGTGACAAGAGATTTGAATACCAGAAAGTAGCCGGTGAACAAATGTGAAACTAATTGAAACTTGGGGCCTGTGAACGGGCCCCTTGAGTGATGTGGACCAAAGCCCACGAAAAACCACAAATGGATTTCATGATCTCTAATTGCACGATTCAGGGCAATTCAAGCAGGGCAGAACAAATCCCGCAAACTCTAACAACCATTTTGCCTCCTGCGTGCCGTCAAAAAGGGGTTTCTAGTCCAACAACTGGACATCGCGTTTGCGGGCCCCAGGTATATTCCAGGGGAAGTGTGATGGACATCGTGCTGGAACTCTGTCAGAGTGATATGAGGCAGGGTGGGAAAACCATCCATGGTTTTTCAATTTACTTGTGTTGCAACTGGTTTGGTCTCGTTTGGTGGACGCATAAGGGGGTGGTGCTTTCTGAAGAGCCGAGTTCAAACCCATCCATGGGCCCGAGTTGGGTTCCCATCCACCCCACTGGCTCGTGATGAGGACGTACATGAACTCCAAGGTCGAGCGCTACGGACCAGCAAAAGTCTATCACGCGCCCAGCCCCGAGGAGTTAGGCTCCACCGTGCAGCAGGTCTTGCTGGCGGTGCAGTTCCTTCATGAGAAGCTCATTGCGCACCGCGACATCAACCCCTCCAATGTGTGGCGAAGCAAAACAACGAGCTGTGAAAGAGGAGGAAGAAAAGGATAGAAAGGAGGGCGCTGGATATGTGTGCTCGGTGTTTTATTTCCTTTTTTGGTAAGGGGGTCAATCTTTGTACCTATACAGTAAGGGCTAACGCCCTGGTGCCGCCGACCCCCATTTTTGCAGCCGAAGCAGGTGCGCAGTCGCCGTGGATTCGTTCAGGTTCCCTCCCAAAAGTTGAAACTCACAGCATGCAGAGAGAAAGCTTGCCAAGACCACGCCAAAACCTCGGTCGCGCCGCAGCGACACACCGTGGCCCGGAAGGTTTGAACGGAGCAGCGCGCGAGCGCTTTCAGTGTCTGACGTTGCCAGCCCCAGGTGGACGCCAAAAGCAGGTAGCTGCCAGGTAGGTGCAGGGGTGCTCCAAAATCCGCAAGAACACGTCAGAAGCTCGGTTTTGCCACAGCAAAACACCCTGGCCCCCGGAGGCCTGAACGTCGCCGGGCGAAGGACCGCTGACAGGCCTAACTCGCCTTGGGAACAAGCCCGAGGTAGGTGCCAGAAGCAGCCAGGTAGCTGCCACAAAGCCGCCGGTAGCTGCAGGTGTCGGGCAGCGAAGCAGCCTAGGCCCTGAAGGTTGGAACGGAGCAGCGCGCGTGCGCAGGCAGTGTCTAACCTCGCCTTCGGAGCCCCATAGAAAGAGGCGTCTAACCACCGAACGGTGTGTGTCAATCAGTTTCACGTCAAAGATGGGACCAGGCGTCACGCGCGCACCTGCCCAGCGTGCCAAACCGTTGTTTGGTCCAGCCGCATTTGGGCGGCTGCAACTTCCGCACGCATTGCCGTCGGGGAAACAATGCTCCAACAAGTCTTGGCATGTCGAAGACAAGAAAGCAAGGCAGAACAGGAAAACGTCATAAAGTCAGCGCTCCGAAAAGCAAGTCTGCTCGGCACCAGGGCTCGCAAACGGCGGTTTCGAAACGCATAGAAACCAGGGAGAGGGCCTTACATGGCCAGGTCTGGTTGGCACGATGTTGCAGCAGAGGAGTTGAGGGCGGGCCAACGGCAGTTTCGAAACGCATAGAAGCCAGGGAGAGGGCCTTACATGGGCAGGTCTGGTGGACACAATGTTGCCGCGGTGGCGGAAAGAGGTGCAGGCCAAGGCCTGCTAGGGCGGTGTGACCGTTGCCAGTGCCTAACGTCGCCTTCGAAACCCTATAGAAAAGAGGTGCAAGCCAAGGCCTTCTAGGCTGGTGTGGCCAATGTCTAACGTCGCCTTCGAAGCCCTATATAGAACAGAGATGCAGGCCAAGGCTTGCAAAGGGCGACTGCGCTGGACACTGCAAGGCCCATCCACTGGCAACGGCTTCCACACTGCAAGGCACATCCACTGGCAACGGCTTCCACCCTGCGGTGTCCCAGGCGCCGCCCCGCCTAGGCGTCAGCTAGGCTGGGGTCGGCGGATATTGGTCGCAGAGGAGATTGGGAGGGAAAGATACGCGTGGTCTACTGGCTCAATGTGGTAATTTTGGCAGTTTGAGCAACCCTCAGTCAAGCCTTAAGGGGGTGCTATGGACCTTGATGAGTGGAATATAGTCCTCAAGAAATGAATTGTTCCAATCGACCAAGAAAGATCCCTGATACTGACGATCGAAGCTCGTTAAAATCTCGTGATATAATGATGGCTTCTCCCTTAGAGCAAGCTTGGTGTGCCAAGGTTGCTCTCCTTGCGGCAGCAATGGAAACTCGCCGACTTCAACCTTGCTTGCGAGTTCAACCCAAATCTTCCAATGACAGACACTGTTGGCACCCAGCCGTATGCGGCACCAGAGGTGTACCAGAAGAGCTACACTGTGACTCAGATGGGGAGACCGGGAGTGGAGAGAAGAAAGAACAAATCCTAAGCATGTCTTTGTAGTACCTGAAGTGGTCATGGAATGGGAATGTCGAAAGCAGGCATGGACATATGTGACATAATCACATGTGTGCACTATACTGTACAAACACCCGGCTTGGCCTTTTGTACAAGTACTTACGCATTGGAATGGAAGACTTTCTGTTTGACGCAAGCAACACACTTGCACCAATCATCACCAATCATCATTTGATCAGGGAATTGTTGCACTTGGTAGGGCTAGACGTATGCTTGAAGTTCGGACTTTGGTCAGCAATGACACACTAAAACTTAAAACATTGAATGACAACTCTACGGCAGTCACAGTGGCAGTCACACTGAAGTATTTTCTTATCCAACCGACTCGTAAAGAGCCTTGAGTTCTGGATTTGAAGGCATCCAAAGGGCCTGAAAAGATCTAGGCGTATACTTCCTTTTCAAGAAGAGATCCGTGCGGTTTTCTTTCTAAGTTCCAGCCAGGGTCTTCAGTGAAGGGATTCCCCTATCGTGACCCACATCTGTTTTGCATAGTTTCTTTTCTTTTCCACCCGAACCCATAGACAATGTCCACAGTCTTTTGTTCCTCCTAAAGTGACGATGATTTCCAAGCTGGACACCGACCGGTGTTCACTCGTTCGTTTTGGGCCTGCCAAGACCAACTGCTCTGTGTTGCTCTTGGATTTTGCTTTTTTAATTCTTGTTTCTAATAGCTTCTTGTTACTACTAGCAAGGCCCTTGCTCCTAGTAGCGATGCACTTGTTCCTAGTAGCTTATTGCTTGTTTTGGCACTTTTGAACACCGAAAGGCAAAGTGTGACGTCTACAGCCTTGGAGTGCTGTTCATCGCTTTGGTGATGGGACCTATTGGTGGTGATGGTTTACGAGAGGTGCCTGAGAGCCTCTTGGAGGAAAGCGCCTGGTACCGGAAGTGTGGCCAAGGGGGCTTGGCCTTCGCTCAAGCGATGATCGTCCCAGAGCCAGAGCGCTGTGAGGCTACGGCTGAGCGGAGGAACGGTTTTCATCGATGTCTTCCAAACGGCTTTTTCCGAACGGATAGCGATGGCCTCCAACCTCAAAGCGATTGTTTACATGTAAAAAACGTGAAGTGGGGAAGATGTGTTTGTTTGGAGCTGATTGAGGTGATGTCAATTTCTTTCCCACAGATAAGAGACGTAGTGGATGTGTCACTATGTGTCACTATGTGTAGGTTTCCTGGTTGCCTCATTTGCTAACGATGCCTCATCAGCGCTGGAGAACCCCTGGCTCCTGCAGCAATTCGTGCTCTCCAAGGGCTGTTGTGTCGTCAGCTAAGCTGATGGAGACGCAAGCTCGACCGATTCAACGAGCGAAAGCTCTGTTGGCCTGAAGCCTCACTTGGTGCCCATGTCACATCATTTGTGTCAGGCCTATGTGAGCCTATGTGGCTCGAATGATTCTCAGCTTTGGTGGGCCATGATTGCGTTCTGCAAACTTTGGCCGGCCATTTGTTTTGCGTGGTTTTATGTTCATTCAATGAGCAAATGCCACAATTAGTCTTAGACTGCTCTCAACTGGATTGGATGATTTGGGCATGTCAAGGGCCCGTCAATGTGAACAAGCTCTTGGATGCCAAGCATTTGGAGTGAGAATGCAGTCTCCAAAGACTTGAACCCACTTGCAGAACTGAACCCTCCGTGTTCCCTTGCCCATGTGGAATTCAAGAGCACCGCGGGCCAGGCCCTGGGTTCAGGGGAGTCCTGAAAAGGGGCTCTCACACGGTGGTTGAAGGTGAAGGTGGCACCCCAATTCGGGATGCCTTTGCCCACCTGACCAATCCGAGAGAGAGAGAGAGAGAGAGAAACGGCACCGTTCGGTGACACCAGCCGAGCTGTTTTTGATGGTCAGGTAGCTGCGGTAGCTGCCTGAGGGAAACGGGAAAGGTCTGGGCTCACATACTATATCTCCGGGGAAAAGGATGGGGTTCACCTGACGTAACTTCTGAACTTCTTGGTCGCAGGGATGTCCTTCGCATGTTGGAGCACGATCAGAGCAGCACCTTGGAGGACGATCACATGGACGACATGCGCGCAGACTGGAAGACACCTTGCAGTTCGGATAATTTGTGTTTCATATGTGCCAGCCACAAAGTTGTCAGCCAACAGGAACTTGCTGTCCTGGACACGCCAACCAACCAACCAAACCAAAGACAGGTTTTATCCCACCACTGCTGGCTTGCACTCCCCTATATACTTCTACAGTGAGCTTGGGACTAGCCCCGCTTTCGGTTGTGGCCCAGGGGTTGGCTCCACGGCAGCTATCGGAAAAGAAAGAGGTGCATGAAGAGACCAAACACATAGTTCTTTCTCCAAACATGGTGATGATTTAACCCAGGGTGGTAGAACTGAGGGACTGAGGGTGTTTTCTGCTGAGGACATGCGTCTGGGTCATATTTCTGAGCCGTGAGAAGCGTCTGGGTCGACACTGGGGGGCCCAGGGTTGACAACTGAACATGAACATGAACAACTGACTATTTGGGAGGTCAACCCGCCAAGGATTCGGGGTCCGGGTTTTGATCCACAGCGAGTCATAGAGATTCTGAACCACCCGGTCTGAGCGAGTCAGATTCTGCAGGAGATCTTCCTCCGGCAGCAGCAGAAGGGCCGTGAGTTGGCACGCTTCGCGGTGGACCTGCTAACAGAGACGCTGACCGCCCAGGCGGGGAGAGTCAGGTGCCAGTCACGTGGGGGGTTTGGAAGGTGGTGTCTAGGGGGGATGCATTGAACGAACCTTTGGAACCTTGTATTGCAAGGCTTGTAATGTTTGGAACCAGGCCCCAATGGCAACAGAACCCACTCTGGAACCGGATTTGGATTGCAACCTCGAAACCAGCGCCCTTTTCGAAACTGTCCGCCTGCCAGGCTTTGATGATAGCAGTCTCAATGGTAGGTTAAGACAAGGGTTGAGACTTGACGGCAAGGCTTGCAGTAGTGCATCATTAGCATCACGAGGGGCTCAGGAGGCAATGTAAACCGTGTTCTACTAAAGTGGGAGTTCATGTGAATGATAGGAAAGAGGGGACCACGGGACGTGGAAAGTGGTTGGAACTCCTCCAGAAAAGGGAGATGTGCGCCTCTCATGCCAGTGAAATAGTGTTCGACAAGGAAGGGGTGAAAGGGAGGTGTGTGTCTCTTAAGACATTCCTTATCTGTGAGGAACCAGAATGCTGTGGGGAAGGTGGAAGACAGGCATAGCGTAGGAGGATGTGGTAGGAAAAGAGGGCTTGCAAGAAATGTTAGAGTTGCTTGGGGGTGCCCTTGTTTAATGGTGAAGACGCCTGTCAAGTATACGCAAAAAGGCACCCCGTATGGGGTGCGAGTTCATGTAATGCTGTGGTCCGTTGAGGGCAGGAAAGAGAAGAAAATGCAGCGGGCAAGCTTTGAATTGCTTGGGGGCGCCCTTTTTTAATGGTGAAGAGGCCTAGTTGCCGGACTCAAAAGGGCACCCCATATGGGGTGCATGATGCGATCTGTTGAGGGCATGCGAGAGAACAGATTGCAGCGGGTTGAGTAGCGCAGGAAAGAGAACAGATTGCAGTTGCGGGCAAGCTCAGCGTTGCTTGGGGGCGCCCTTTTTAAGTTGCCGATAACCTCGCCAGCTTTGCTCACTGATTGGCCAGACAGCAAGATTCCTTTGGGGTGCACTTTTTCACCTCCAAAGCGACCCTGAACCACTACGAAAAAGGGCACCCCCCCAAACCTGTGTATTATACTTTCTCTTTCTACTCTAAGTGGCTGCAATATCAACTTCACTACATAAAGGCACGCTTTGCCCGATGTTCACCCATCACTTCATCTTGCGCTCTCAAAGGCTGCAATATCAACTTCACCACTTCCGGCTACTCTTTCTCCACTCTAGCTATATACATATATGTTTCCTCCTGAAAGCCTGCCAATAACCTCGCCCATAACCAGCTTTGCTGATGATTGGCACCACACAGGCAGCTACCACCTCTCATTTCTTTTGGGGTGTCCCTTTTCACCTCCAAAACGACCCTATACCACGACGAAAAAGGGCACCCCCCCAAACCTGTGGATTATAGTTTCTCTTTCTACCTCCTGTCAGAGTGGCTCCGATGTCAACTGCAGCACCTAAACGTTTGCTTTGCCCGATGTTAGCCAATCACTTCATCTCACGCGCTCCAATGGCTGCAATATCAACTTCATTACTTCCAGCACTCTTTCTCCGCTCTACCCTCCAACACGCCCCTGACCCAAAGGCATGCCTGGGGGCGCCAGGCTAGCCCTAAGGCCACCCCCCTTGAAGCAAAGGCTGGCTTTCGTCCCCTCCCTTCTCAGGTATATATATATATATACATATTGTACGTTGTGAAATTGCGAAGGCAATTCTGAAAAAAAGGGGCATCTTCTTTGCTGGCGCCTCCGCTTTTCCTCCACTGCGCCTTCTTCTCGTGATCCGACTGGGTCACGTCAGCCCGACTGGGCGATGTATCACGCTCGCCCAAACGGATGTCCCACAGAGTGGAATCATTTTCGTCATTGAGACACCACGGCACCCCCACATCACAAGAGGGGCCAATTGCAGATGGTGCCCCTCCGACTTCATGAAGTGTCATGCTTTCGCCCGTGACGGACAGGGACCCGCACGTCGACTTAAAGTGCAGATTCTGATGAACACATCAGAGCTGTAAGAGCCAGGACATAGTTCCGCCGAACTTGTCGTCACGGGAGTCGTCTAGGTCGCTTGAAGATGCTGCGGTCGTCAACTGCGCAAATTCAGCAGGCTTTGATCGAAGTGAAGGTTATGAACTGCAAAGCAAACAAACCAGGCTTTGATCACAACTTTTCGTTTGGAACCGTAGAATTGTGACTCTGGAACCAGGCCATCCCCTGATCACATCACAGCGAGCCTGGCTCGCTTAAACTTTTTGTCTGGCATTTGCTACCCGGTTGGCTACAAGAGACGAAAACACCGTGAATTTTAGCATCCAAAATGCTGTCAGTCTGGGGTGTATGCTGGCGTATGCTGGTTGTGCTTTGGGATGATGAATGGAAGTTGAAGTGGCCTGTGACTTCGAGTGGGGATTGCCCCAGTTTGCTGATTGATTTCCCAGAGTTACGGAATGAACGTCATGTAATTTGAGACCCCGCAACAAATCTCCAATCCGAGCACCTGCTACGTCCCGACTTTGATTTGCGCTCCGGCTAGTTGTCCCATTAAGGTGGGCTTTCCATTGTTCAACCGCACCAAAAAAGCGGTTGTGGGGGGACCACATGTGACACTCACAGGGACCGCCGCTCGGTCTGGAGGACTTTTGGAAGCAGCTGGGTCCTCACTTGTTGGCTGCTGGGGTCGTCCAACATCTGGATCCCGAGACGATGCTCCGTCTGGAGACCGAGAAGGCACGTGCCCAGGAGAGGGAGTGAAGCAAGGCGTGAGCGCACATGATTTGGCAGTCGCCGATCACGGTGAAGCGAATCACTTGGATCACCGAAGGGGCTGGGTTAGTAGTTGGTAGCAGTTGATTCATTGTCAAGAGGCATGAGGTGCTGAAGACTGGTGTAGCCGCGTAGCCTTCAAGAACTCAATGGTACAACAGATGCACCGGAAAGCGGTGCGTGAATCCACCAGATTTCCAAGAGTCCTGCTGCAAAGAGAATGTTCCATCTCTATCCCTGCAAACGGCTGGCTCCCTAGGAGCAGCTGCGGATCGATCGTGGCATTCCCCAGAGCATTGAACACATCAGGACCGGATTTGCACTGTGCAAGTAGGTCTTGCGTATGTCGACACATGGACCACTTGATCAATGATGACCCAATCAATTCATTATTCACCATCATCTACCCAATATTACCCAATACTTGAGAAGAGGTTTTGGGAGCTGAATTCTTCAGCTGTCCACCCAGGCCCCGCAAAACTCAGCCAACATGTACATCAATATGCAAGTGATACGATGTGACATATCTACTTAATTTGTTTGTCAATTTGTTTGTGTCCGAAAACAGCTGCTTTTGTTGACGGAGCAAGCTCCACGTCACCATTTGTGAGAGCTCCCTGATTCTTTTTGGTGGGTGCTATGGGGATGGTCCCAGCAGCATGAAGCGACGAATGGGTCGCATGCCGTGTCCATCGTCCACGCGTGCCGAAACAGTCGGCAGGGTGGGTGGCTGGATCCGGCTTTACGAAGCGATGGCGAAGGACTTCGACCAGCACCTGGGCCTTCGCTGGTGGACCCGACATGGGGCCGACCGGGATGGGGCGATCTGGGTGTGCTTGGAATAGGGAGACACCAACAGTTATTGCAGCGGGGTCCGTACTCTTAATGCACAGCCAATGTGAATGTGTAAGATGTCACTCATGGCCATAGCACAAGCCCGACAACCGACGATGATATTTTCCTGTATTTACCCAGCAAAAGATGGCTCGAACCAGGCTTTAAGTGCAACTTTCTGTCTGAAGCCCTGGAATGAATGGAGGCAGGCCCCGCCCCTAACTGCTCGCCTGGAATCCGGGAGTTTGTCAACTTTTTTGCTTAGGGCTTAGGACTTTCGACTGTTTTGAGTCGAACCATCGCATTGCTTATCTAGCCAGATCCGTTTTGCATTCGGGATCCGGAATCCACGCGGGCATGAAAGACTGAGCCACATTGCATGCCAGTGTGCAGTAAACTGCACCCCGGTCCGGATCAAAAGACGAGGGACGGTGGATTTCCACCGTCAAGATTTGAGGCAAAACAACTCAAGACAAAATGCCAGCATTCTGACCGCTTGGCCATCCAAGTGTGGCTGGCCGTCCAAGTGCAGCTCAAAAGTCCGTCAGCGGGCTAAGCCCGTGGTTTTACTTAGCGCCATCACCCCAGTTGTCGTATACTGATACTTGTAGCTCCAAAGTGGGGAAGCTACTGTGGTGAGCAGGCTTCGCTGGGCGGAGGGCAACAGAAGGGTTTCGCAGGGCAGCAAGGCCCATAGGCCCATCAGGTCAAGAGAGGCCTCAAAACGATGGACGTACCCACCTGGAACCCCCAAAAGGCGAATTCAACGGATTCTTCATGAAGGTCGCTCGATCTCGGCTTGAACCCCACCGAGGTCCCTGCCATATCGCGCCTCCGTGTTCTTGGCTGTATGCCCCTTGGCTGAAGTTCTTCATCGACGCTGGTGGCATTGGTGAAGCTCGCTGCGCATTGGCGTTTCTTGTGACACACCTCCGCAAAACTTTCTGGAGCGAATTCTTGAACATGTTGAGACAGCCCGGCAAAGATGATTACATATATATATATATATATATACACCTCCATTTTCGATGAATGCCACTCTGAGTCGCTTGTACAGTCGGGAGGTCCTGCCGCAATATGTGCGTCGATCTTCTTTCCGTGCTTGTCCTCATGCAGCTTCATCTTGTCTGAGGCACTGCTTTGGTTGGCCTGGGACTGTTCTACCAGATCATGTGGCCGGGCTGAAACTCAGTTTCTCCTTTTCCCGACCGAAAGGTGATGTCCTACCAACTGAGGTGCCCAACTTAAACCTACTTGCTTGTAGACTTAAACCATCTTAAACCTACTCTCCTTGGTCTTCTCTTCTGGCTTTGGCCGGTGTTCTCTCTCAAAAGAGGAAGCGGCGCATGCGGATTCCACGGCTGGTGGATGAGACCTCGGTCTCCTGGCGGTTTCGAAGGAAGGCCACGTGGCGGGAAAAACCGAGTTCGATGGAGGGAGGTGGAGGCTGTGGGAGGAAAATGGGTGGAGGCTGTGGTTCTTGGGTGATCTAGAGGAGTTGGGTCTTAGGGTGTTTGTTTCCTTTCTTGTAAGACCTTTAACACCCCTGCAGCACTGGATCAGCCTATGCGATGCGATGGAACACTGGACCAGCTTGTGCAGAAAGGCACAGTCTTATTTTGCCGATGCTCTTGGGATGCCATAGCATCCATACCGTCCAACTTGTCCTTTTCTGCACCAACTCACCGAGTTCTGATATGCACACAAATACCGCCATTCGGTCCGAGTCGCGAAACATACCCGCCCTCCGCGCCGCGCCGCTGGACGCTGGACGCGTTACGCGCCCAGGGCGACGCATCGGTGCGAGAAGTTTTTGATGGCGATCGACAGTCCATGGATCGGCCCAAGGTGGGAACCGCTGGACGGCCCGGGACGAGACGGTGAAGATGTGGGTGGACGGCCAGGTATTCTGCTGCATGCCATCTTTATGTGAATACAGCATACATCCATTTGGTCCACACCTAGGTCAACCCCTCAGATCTCTCAACCATGTTCGCCACCAATAGGAGACACCTTGACGGGGCCAAGCGACCGAATGCCGCCGCATGGACCGTTGTTCGACGTGTCGATCGTATGGGTCGGTGCCCCGAAAAGGGCCGAACAGCTAGTTGTGATTTCAGGTGCCAGTGCACCAGTGATGCCAAAGACTGCCAGGAGCAACGGGGCTCCTGGCCTTACTACTAGGAACAAGGACGCTACTAGGAGCAAAGGGCATCGCTACTAGGAGCAAGGGCGCTACTAGGGGCCGCGCTGCAATACCGCTACTGCCCTCAGGTGGTGCTGTCGGAGGAGGTACGACAGACCGTGGAGGACATGGCCCTAGTGGCCTCGAAGCGGAGGCGACGGGTGGTGATGATGGTGGAACTGCTGCAAGCGCGCGCAGGGATGGAACTGGTACACCAAGTGCTGGCGCGTGTGCAGCTTTTTGTGGAGAATTGTTGGTGACTGCTGGTGCATCACCTTCAGGTTTGAAGGTCCAGACTCTCTGTATCTGCAGCAACCCGCAAATCCGAAAGCTCAGAAGTCAGATGGTCTTCGTGCTGCTTCCTCCGCCACCGAAACCAGGCACCGCTCCCACTCGCTGCCGCTGCCGCTGCCCAACGCCGTGTTCTTCGGACCGCCGGGCACGGGCAAGTCGCTCACGGCCCGGCGCTTGGCGGAGTCCTGCGGCATGGACCGAAGCGAGCGCGACGTCCGCGAGAGCAAACCCGCGGAGGTCGGGTTTGGACGGATGGACATGGCTCGGAGCTTGTAGGGTGTCACACCGCAAAGAGCCAGACGGCCAGACCCTCCACGAATTGGCCCATGATTGAATGTCTTCAGTCTCTTGCTGGAGGACTATGCCATCCTCTCGGGTGGCAACATCTTGGGTTTGAAGGAAGAGGCCGTCCCAGAGCTGCGCCGCGTCTTTCGCTGGGCGCGCAGGCGGGGGAAGAAGGTGAACCCCGCCCCGATGATTGCAGATGGTTGGTTTGATCAGTGGCTTTTGTGGAGCAAGTTGCACCTACTAGCCATCCGTCAGGCTCATGAATTGCTTATTGGCCAAACAGCTGATTCCAGCCAGATCACAAACAATTGTGAGCCAGCTCCCGCATTCCTCGCGCGATCAGGTCCTCACGGGGTTTGCTGCTCTTCATCGATGAGGCGGAGGCGTTCCTTTGTTGCCGGAGTTCACAGAGCAACTCCTATGTGCAGGCAGCGGTGCTGCTCGGCTCTCATCTGGAGATGTGGAGTTATGGTTGAATTCTCTATAGACAGGGTACAAGATGTGAGAATTGGTCGAGGATACCAGGACCGGACACCAGCCCGGTCCTTGTTTTGGACTATGGAAAAGCCAACCCATCCTGGCAGGCGTGAAAACAAGATCATTCGGAATCTCCAGTGTTCGGCATCGTCAATCATGGGGCAGAACCCTTGTGCATATTGGCAACTGAGCCTGACCTTGCACAAGAAGAGATCCGCAATGATGAAAGGATTGGGACTTCTAAACCCCAGCATATAAGCCCTGTTGAAAGGTCTCCGTTTAATCGTGCACCATCTCACCTGTCCCAGACAAGTCGAACATCCTTTTTGAGTTAACGGTCCATGAACGGTCCATGAACCCCCATCTGGATGAATTTTCAGGGGTCGAAGCATCAACACATGTTCCTGAATAAGATCAGCAGGGATTCGTTGCCCAACAAGCTTGAGAACCTTCCGTGACAAGCAAGCAAGTATCTGGCTCACGACACTATCACCTTCATACATGATACGTGTGGTGAGCCTGAGTAAAAAAATATGGTATGTAGTATATTTTATATAATATAGCATACATACACTGTAAATGCTATATACTTAGATAATGTTCTTCTGAATGAATCACAGCCAGTCAAAAGAATCAAGACGTAGAATAAGTCGTAGTCAGGCCCTTCTACCAGTGCACAACGGCCCAACATTTAAGACAAACCACAGTTGACAGTTGGGTTGGCGAAAGTTTAAAACTGGAAGTTGACCAAGCACAACGACATACTTGTAAATGGTTGTTGCAAGATGCTGGTGAAATTTCTTGCCATTTGAACAACTGCGGCTGGGGAACTTTTGGGCGAATAGACTGATTCGGGACACTGACCAGCGAGGTCTTTCTTCTTGGCGCAGACGGGTGCTTCCAGCTCGCAATTGCAGCTGATCCTTGCAACCAATCGCATCCAGGACAGCAGAAGTCCGCAGCGTGGGAGATTTCGAGGGGCTGTGACAAAGGCCATGTTACACGACCTCGCGATGGTATCATGGAACACGTCATGCAATGCCATTCTGTTGTTTTGTTGGTTTTGGCCACCCCAAAGTTGTGCAGGAAAATTTGTAGAGAGAACACAATTTTGTGGAGTTGACAATGCATGAGTGTGGTAGAGGTTACTTCCTTCCCCGTATGCCATTTTGGCTCCAGCTGAGTCGAACCACAGGTGGGCATGGGCGAGTTGGTGGTTTCTGCCATCCCCGAGGACCAGGGAGGTTTTGATCCTCTGGTCATCTTGGGTGTGGTGTGGGCACTGACACTCTTTGCCGGCATCGCAGTCGGGTGGGCGTGCTGCCGTGCACCTGCCCCCCGGACTACGGCCGGTGAAGAAGCCCTGGTCGCCTGGGAACGACTGACGCGGCGCGCCATCAAGTTCGTGAACAAGAGGCGCCGAGTGGGCGTAGCTTTCAACGGCTACAAGAGGTTCACCCTTCGCAACACAGAAGGGTCTCGCCCGACACAGGGCCGTCGTGCACGAAGGAGATCTACCACGCCAGGAGCACCTCTACTCCACGAAGGCCCGGTGGTGAACCATGGACCCCACGGAAGGTGAACTTCAAACCATCACCAACCTGGCGGAGGCTCGCGCTTGGTGCGGGGTGGAAGGACCCCTGGCTGACGCCCTGCATGCCGCCTTGGGACAACCCGCACGGGTACGAGAGATCGCCCTCATTCCCAGGCCGACTTGGGATCGGGTGGTGGCAGGCCTACAGATCCAAGACGGAGGAGACCCTAGGCCGCCGCTTCGAGTTCTCACTCCGGTCGAGGAGGCACGGCTGGAATGCTTCAGGAGAGTCTGTTGCTTACGGTCGGGGAGACCCATCGACCTGCCAGGCGATCCAGCAGCGGCCGCTCCGGCGGTAGCTCCAGCCCCCTTCCCCGCAGCGGGAGGGGCTCCGGCACCCGCACCAGGGGGTCCACAGGCTCGCAAGTTGAAGTTGAGCGCAGTCCTCGACCCGACGCTGGACGCAGAGATTCAGCCGTTGGGTGATGCTGAAGTCACAGGCATGTACGAGCGTTACCGCAACCGCTATGGAGACTTCCCCAGTGTGGATGCCGACGTGAGCCGTGATCAGTTGGCCGCACTGAGTCAGGTCCTAGCGGCACACGCGGTCCCGTACGCCGACTTCTCGATCTTTGGCCCGCATGGTCAGCGCCTCCTTCGCCGCCAGACCTTTCAGAGCTACAGCCTCAACGTCTCCACGGGCGAATGGGCCAAGAAAGAGCAGCCTGGACCTGGCTCCTTCTATGAATGGTACAAAGCTTGGAGGTGCTACAGGACTGCACTCCTCCTGCTGGAGGCGGCGGAGGCTGAACGGCTGGATGCCTATGCCGAACACATCCGGGGGTTTGTCACCCAATTCGGAGAGGAGGCATGGCCGTTCATCTGTAAGGCCGACAGCCGCATGCGCTCTGAGCAGCTCGAAAGGCTGTGGCGGGAGCTACACGCCAACCCCACCTTCGGCTTCACAGCAGCTGCGCCCTGGAACGCCTGCTATGCCTACGCCGTGAAGGACACAGAGTTCTGGAACAAGGAGCTCACCACACCAACTACCCTGTTTCTGGCACGCTCGAAGCGGGCCCCCACGGGAGGAGATGATGAAGAGCTTCCGGACGGCGAGGCGAAGAGAAGAAGGGCAGGCCGGTCGAACAGGACCTACAAGGGCGAAGACAAGTCCCGGAAGGGGACTGACGGCACCTATTCGCACAACCGGCGTGGTGTCGAGATTTGCCGCCTCTACAATGCCGACAAGTGCGGGTCGAAGCAAGCCCAGGGCAAATGCAAGTCCAAGAGATCCCATCAGTGCAACAAGTGCCTAGGTCCGCACCAGGGCGTTCATTGCACTGGGGCCAAGAAGGACTGACCCGCAATCGCGGCCGGGGGAAAGACTTCCTCCGGCTCGCGTGCAGCTGACATGAACGCGTCGGGAGGGAAACAGCCAAAGAAAGTACCTCCATCGGCGCAAGCTGCGGGCCCTCGGAAGATTCCGGGCCTGGCCATCAAGAGGAAGGCAGCCCCGAAGTCGCCGGAGGCACCGCCCACAAAGAAACAAAGGAAGGAGGCCGAAGAAGGTCGGCAAGGAGCCGTCGACGACCAGGAAGAAGAAGAGCTGGTGTACGAAGAGGAGTCGGCGGCCGAGTCTTCCAGATCGCAACCGAGCAAGAACCCTTCACCTCCCGCCTCAGGGTCTCAGGGAGGCGGGTCTGCCGGGCTCAGGCCAGTCGTGGCGTTGAAGGAACCTCCCAGGAGGTACGGCTGGTGGTCTAGCACCGTGGGTGAAACCTCCAAGAAACCACGGATGCTGATCGTCTTTTCCGGAAGATCTAGGGAAGGCGACCTCGCCCACCAAATGGCCAGACTCGGGTGGCTGGTATGCAGCCTGGACACGGTCCTCCCAACGCCGACTGACCTCACCAAAGATGAGGTCTGGGACGAGATCAAGAAAGACCTGGACGCCGAGTTCTTTCAGGCCGGGTGGATCGCCACGCCCTGTGGCACCTTCTCACCTCTCAGAGAGAAGCCGCCGGGGCCTCGGGTGATCCGAACCATCGACCACATCACCGGCATCCCAGACCCGACAAAAGCTGAAGCAGCTCAGTTGAGGGATTCCAACATCCTAGTCCATCGCTCCTACAAAGTGGCGCACAAGCTCCATCAGCAGGTCAGGCCTTGGGGTTTAGAGAATCCAGACCATCCAGCAGGGAAGCCGTCACTCTGGATGATGCCCCGGATCGAGGACATGCCAAGGTGGCAAGGGGTCGACATCACACGTTTCGACCAATGCATCACTGGCCTCGAGACCACCAAGCCGACCAAACTCTACACAGAGAAGTTGGAGCTGTCCGCCCTGAAGGACAAAAGGTGCAACCACGAGAAGAAAGTATGGACTCGAGAGGACGGCACCACCTTCGAGGCAGCCCACAACCCGACCGTACAGAGGTGGGAACAGGTGGACGGCAAGATGCAGAGAGCCTCGAAGTCCCAGGGCGAGCACACGGAACTCCTGAGCAAGATCCTCGCGGTCGCCTTCCACAAGAACGTCGACGACAAGTGGAAGATGGAGCAGCTCCGCAAGGAGATGCTCTGAGACCCACCTTCGGTTCCTGACGCCTCCACTCTCCGGCCACCGACTCAGAGAGAGGAGGAGAACCGGGTGGCCATCGGGGGGATGCGAAACCCGCATTTGGCGGTCCAGCGCCTGCCATCGATGAAGGGGCCGGGAGCAATGGTGCGGCTAATCCTCGAAGAGACTCAGAGGGCCTCACCGGAACTTACGGCCATCGGTCGCGACATACTCACCGGTCGAGTGGCCAGCCCATTCCCGGAAGAGGTCGTGACCGGGCTGAGAGTCAAGGTGGCCGAAGCTCTGGGCAGACCGTACGCTCCGAGAAACAGGACGGCCAAGGCAGACACCCCACTAGAGGCAAACATCGTAGAGGCCTGGGGAACAGCCACTCAAGATCCAGACACCACGAACTTATGTCAATGGTTGGATCATGGAGCACCACTGGGGTACAGCGAGCCCATACCTGCAGCGGGCATCTTTCCACCAGTGCCCCGGGACGACAGCTCACAAATCTCTCAGCACGAGCTGTACAGGTCCATCGAGGGCTGGCAAAACTACAAGTCCGCGGAGGAGGAGGCCCAAGATCTGGAGACCCTCGTGGAAGACTACGTCCAGAGGGGTTTCTGCCACATCATTGGCAGTGTGGAACAAGCTGCGCAGGAACTGGGAGGCGAGCCCGTGTTGAACAAGCTGGGAGTCATCACCAAGTTCAACCACCAGGGCGTCAAGAAGAGCAGAATCATTTGGGACCTCAAGGAATCCCGGGCCAACCAGATCTGCCACCAAGGCGAAAGAATCATCCTCCCACGGTTGCTCGATGTGGCTCAACAGGCCGTGCGAGTGTACAGAGATGGACGCCAACCGTGGCTGGCGGCAGTGGACGTCAAAGACGCCTTCATGAACGTGCCGGCGGGACCAGACAAAAGGTTCACGGTCGCAGCACGGCCAAAGGCCAAACCCCAAGAAGGCATGGAGCTCATTGTCTTCGACGCCCTGGTGTTTGGGGCTGGGAGTTCCCCAACAATCTGGGGCCGCTTCGCCGCATGGCTGGGGAGAGCTTTTGCAGCCATCGTTCCGAAAGCCAGCGCACAAATCTATGTAGACGACCCGATCTTCGTGCTGGCCGGCGATCTCGAGCAGGCTGCCCTCGACCTCACATCGTTGATGCTGTGGTTCGCCATAGCAGGCTTCCCCGTGAAGCTGTCAAAGGCCGAAGGAGGCAAGGCCATCAACTGGGTCGGAGCCAGGCTCGAGCTGGACGACGAGGCGAGCACAGTCAAGGTCACCATACCCACTGACAAGGTAGAGAAGCTGAGGGAGACCACAGACCTGATGCTCAAAAGACCGGTGGTCGGCAGGAAGCAGTTGCGCTCCTACGCAGGCTCCTTGTCTTTCGTAGCCGGGCTGGTAACACACCTCCGCCCATTCCTGTCGTCAATATGGGCAGCCTTGGGTAGTTGCATACCTGCGAATGACGGAGAGGGGAAATTTCGAACTCCCGGAAAGCTGGTGCACACCCGAAGGATCCGCCCGGCATTGAAATGGATCCGGGCGTTGCTAGGTGGGAAATCCGCTCCGCTGTGCAGAGTCTTGGAGAGCCACCAACCACAAGTCGTCGCAGAGATCACCACAGACGCCAGCCCCTGGGGAATTGGCGGGATTTTAAAGGTGGGGAGTCAAGCGACGAAATATTTTTCCAGCAACATCCCAGCCAATGCGCTGAGCAGATTTAAAGCTGTCACGGGATGTTCGAAATACAACACTCTATGGGAAGGTCTTGCTTTGCTGGTGGCCTTCCGATTGTGGCTGCCGCAATTAGGACACTCCGCCGCAGTGCGGGCCCGTTCAGATAACATGGGCGTGCTGTGCATGTTGGCTAAGGGAGGAGCCGCCTCATCCCAACTCAATGCACTGGCACGCGAATTCGCCATTGACCAAGCCCTCAGGTCATATCGCATTCATTGGCTCTGCCACATCCCAGGGGTGACCAATTTAGAGGCAGACGCTCTGTCCCGACCGGTCGCTCCGAAGTTTCCAGAATACCTGCGGTCCGTCGAGCACACTCCGGTGAGCCTCGAGCCCAGCTTCTGGAAGGTAGACCTCTGAGACAGCCAAGAACGTGGCTGACGCGGACCGAGACCTGAGAAAGAGGCGAGGCTGAACCCACCGGGCGGGAAGGGAGGGAGACTTTGTCCAAGTCGCTCGAACCCCTAAGTTGTCTTCCGGTGCGGTTTCTTCGGGGGGGAAGGCGATCCGAGACTTTTCGCTCGGCGCTGCAGCATGCCGTTCAAGCGCTCACTCGCCTCATACCCGGGCGTGCCCCCAACGGCGCGCAGTAGACCGACACTCCTGCATGAAGGGTTTGCCTTAACTGGACAGGCCGGCCTCCGCGGCATCGGTCACTGCTCCCCACACTCCGGGCGGAGGGCCACGGGACAGGGGCTCGGGTGAACCCAAGCCTTACGGCAGAGGGTCGGCAGAGGCAGCCATCGCCGCGGCACAAGACCCGCAAGCATGCAGAGCGGAGCTGTCGAAAGACATCATGGCGGAGTCGACCAAAGGTCCGGCCGCATCACGTCAGAAACTTTGGGCTACGCTGGCCGTGACCGCAGGATGGTCAGACCCCTTCCACTTGGACCCAAACATGATCTTCACCGTTATGGGGGCTCTCAAGACTGGAGGGTATCGATCAGCACAGCTCTACCTGGACACTGCGAAGAACTGTCACATTGCCCTCGGTCAGCCATGGGATTGCCAGCTTCAACAAGCCTACCGGTCCGCCGTGCGCAGTTGCAAGCGCGGCATTGGACATCCCAAGCAGGCGGCTCACCTCCCTTTGGTGCAGGTAGCCGAGTTGTTGGGCGACAGTGCTCTAGCCCCAGGCGGTCCAACACACCCAGTGTCAGCGACCATACTCGCATCATGGTGGCTTTTGCGTGAGATTGAGGCATCTCGGGCACGCCGCAAACACGTGACCATCGAGATAGCCACACTCAAAGCATCATGGCGACTACCTAGTTCGAAGACGGATCAGGCAGCCCTTGGAGCGACGCGGTCACACACGTGCGCATGCTCCGTGCACACCAAGAGGTTGTGCCCTTTCCACGTACTTTTGGAACATTTGGACAGGCTGCCGGACGGACCCGAACAACTTCTTTTCCCAGCTGAAGACGGATTGGAATCCACCAAGAAAGGTTGGGCCGATACCTTTGAGGCAATCGCCAAACGGCTTCAGTTGCCCACGGTGCACGACAACGGGGCAAGAGCGTACACTGGACACAGCGCCAGAGTTACCGGAGCCCGGTTCATGGCCCTGCGCAACATTGAGTTGTGGCGAATTCAGCTGTTCGGCCGATGGGGGTCGGATGTGTTCTTACACTACATCCAAGATGCCCCAGTCGCGCAACTGGACAAACTGGCACTAGAATCTACCGCGGCCATGTCGGTGCGCAAAGCCCAGGAGGAACTCAGCACACTCCAACAACGCATCAAGGATTGCAAAGCAACCTTCATGCCTCCGGAATCGCAAATGTTGGAAGATTGCGAAGCCTCAGTGCACCTCAGTGTGCCCGATGAAAATCTGCCAGGTGTCAACATTTTAAACACCGCAAAAGGCGGCAGATATCACATCACACTGATCTATAAGTTAGACATCCACCCACGCCGGTGGCGTACACGTTGCGGTTGGCCCTTTGGCAAGAACCAGGCCGAATACCGCATCTGTAAAGACATACCAGTTAATACTGCCCACCTCCGCTGTAGCAAATGTTTTCCCGGTTCCCGCCCGGCTGTCGCACCCTGCACAGCGTCGGAACATGAGGACACCGACACCTCCAACGATCCCTGCGCGTCAGACGGAATTTGGCACGGACGTTGGTGTCGAGTCAAGTGGCATTTGATTTGCATCCCTGGTTGCCGGTTGATGAAAACCGACTGG